CACACCACCCCAACCCCCACCCCCAATCTCCCTCCTCCTGGCTGTCTCCGCAGTTTTCCTGAACACATCCAGCCGGAGTTTTGAGTTGGGCCGCCAAAAATTGAGGTAATTGAATGTATGTCTCCCTGATAGCCTGAGAGCCCCTCCTGAGGCTGCATCAAAGTCACTTCTTAATTTTTCTCCACACACCTCTAAACCCCCAGTCTGTGCTTGTTGAATTAGCCCGATGAAACCCCAAGTAGCTGCTATGCGATTGGTTTCATAAAGCAGGGGGCGGTCCTAGCTCTGTGTTCTGATATCCAGACTTTCGAGCTCCGGTCCGGCTCACTCCAGCCGGGCTCCCTCCCTTCTTTCTTTTTATTCCCAATTTTCCATCGCCCAGCCAGAGGGTCGATCGTGTCCCATAGCAGCCACCGTAGCGGACGTTGGCTGGTACGGAGAAAGATTCTAGGTTGGTGAGAGTGAGGCTATCGCTTGGGGTGGGCCTTAAGAGGAAATTCAGTGAGGATTGGATTAAGCAATCAGGGGCGGAGTTTAAGGGAGAACTCTGGACAGAGAATGGACCAAGCTCAAGGAGGCGGAGCCTAATGATGAAGCGGGCGGAGATTGGGCTGAGGGCGGTGTCCGCACGAGGATTGGGCCGAGCGTTCCGGGGAGGTGCTTGAGGGGGCGGTGCCGTGTCTCGGAAGTCAAAGGTCAGTAAATAGTGGTGATGTCATGCAGGCAAGATGGCGGAAGGGTGAGCCCGTCATCCAGCTCTCGGGCTTTGGGGCCTGAATTCTCCCAGGGTTGGGGTGTTGGGCCAGGGTCCCCATGGGGAACAGGAGGCCAGCGCGGCGGTGGACGGAGCTGAAAAGGCGGGGTGGGGTCGCAGTGTGAGAGGGTGGGGAAGCGGTCTGCGAAGCCTCAGCCCGCGCGCGGGCCACATCCAAGGGGGAAATTGAGACCCGATCGTTGCGCGGGCGAGAGTCGCACTGCGGAGCCGCTAGATGTGTCTGTCTTCCACAGGGAGGACGTGGGATGGTGGCGGAGCTGGCTGCAGCAGAGCTACCAGGCAGTCAAGGAAAAGGTAAGCCGGGCCGGCTGGGCCCCGCGCCGCCTCTTTTTAACCTGTCCCGAGCGGCCCCGCCCGACCTGTGTGTGTGTGCCCGGTCTCAGGAATGAGGCCGACTTGGTCCCTACTTTTAGACACTTTAGGTCTACGGGAGGACAGACCCCCACCCCCCACTCAGACCAATGTGACACTAGCCCCGATGAAATAAAGATTGTTTAAAGGCTGGAGCGACCCTTTCGTGGGAAGCCCATAGGAAGGAACAATTTATTCCAGCTCGGGAAATTCACAGCTTCGTAGAAGAGAGAACATTTGATGTAGGCCTTGAAGAAAAAGGATTCTAGCAACGGAAACTTAACTTCTATAGTCATTTAAATATTAGCGTATAGGAGTGCGCGTATGCCACAGCCAGCACTCTCTGACAGGTCCTGAGGATACCAAACAGATGCAAACCAGGGCTTCACAAAGCTCACAGTCTAGTGGGGAGACAGCAGTCCCTGTGGGATGAGTGAGGCTTGGCTCTGCCAGTGAACAATGCCATTGTGTGTTTCTGTTTCTTTCACTCCATCCTAGTTTGTCAAAACCAACCCAGATGAATTCTGAAAAAAGTTAATTACTGTTTACCTCATGCAACTGGGGTGAGTCCTGCTTCAGGGCAGACTCCCAGGAGGCTCCTGGTCTCAGTTAAATCAGTCCTCTACTCTGGGAGCATTTTTATCCTCCCCTGGCTGTATACTCCTGTCAGCTACAGCCCAGCAATTCTGAGAATGCTCTGAGCTGTTTATGTTTTGATGAGGACCAAGAGAGAATTTCACAGTGAGATTCAATAGAAGAGACCCTCAAGTAGTTTGCTTCCTGTTGATCAATCCAGTGAGAGTCTGACATTCATTTAGCAGTATGACATTCATTTAACAAATGTTGTGTGAAGGCCTCCTGTGTGTCCCTCACGATTGGTCTCACTGTAACTCGTGAAAAACAGGTAGTTGATTAACCTTCCATCTTTGTTTTTGGGGAACTCTCGTTTGAAAGCAAGGGGTGGGAGGTTAGTGTTGTTTCTGCCTTTGACAATACCCCATTTGTAAAAAGGAGACTTAATTTCCCTCTCTTAGCTACTTACTCTTATGAACCTGGGCAAGTTATGCAACTTCTGTAGGCCTTAGTTCCTCACCTGTAAAACGGGAATACTAATACATACCTGATAGGATTGTCGTGAGGATTAAATGATAATATATGTAAAGTACTAAGAATAATACCTAGCACACAATAAGTATTATGTAGGTGTTGGCTCTTTTTATTAAGTGCTGAAAGTGATGGGGAAACCCCTTAAATACCACCAGTCCATTTTTCCTTCCATTTTTATCTTGGTCTTTCAGTGCTTTCCTGGCCTTGCTTCCTTCCCTTTCTCTCCTGGTTCCATCTGGACCACTCAATTCCCAGCACCCTCAATTCTCTTGCACCCCGTAGCATACATTGCCCCCGAGATTAAAGCTCTGAGATGGTGCTATAATCTGCCTTCCTTTGCTCCTTCCTTCCTCCTGTAGTATGTGTGTGTGTACGTGCATGCTTGTCCACAGACACTGATAGAGAAAATCGCAATTCACTTTGGCCCCACCACAGATTTCCCCAACCTCATCTGGACCTGAGCACCCCCAAACAAGCTTTTTCAGTCTCTAATTTGCTTCTCCACCCCTTGCCTTCAGAAACTTTCCTCAAACCTAACTCTTCACTCAAGTCCCCTGTTCAACCACTTCATCTTTTACTTAAGAGAGACAACCTCAGCTCCTACTTTTTAAAACTTGAGGTCAACAGCATGATTCCTCTTAACTCCCTCCTACCCCTGAAGCCACTAGATAGAAAGTTATCTGTATACACACTCAGCTTGACCTACCACTTGCCAAATCCGGTGGATGGTTTTCAGCGCTTATCTTCCTGCAGCTTTCTGCTGCATTTGACACTAGTGATCTCTCCCTCTTTCTTGAAACTCTACTCCCTTAGCTTTTGTGACATGATTCTCTCTCAGTTCTTCATATACTTTTCCAGGCTTTCCTTTCCTGACTGTTTTCATTAGTTTCCTCTTCCTGTGCCTGCCCCTTAAAGTTATGTTTGAGGGACCTTGTCCTCAGTCCACTGCTCTGTTTACAAACTCTTCCTGGGCGACCTCCATTTTCATGTTAGGGTGACTCAGTCCTTTTCTCTGAGCTTTAGTGCTTGAAAATAGCTCTTGCTGGACAACTATTCCGGATAACCCACAGTCACTGCGGATTCTACGTGACCAAAGTAATTGTGATCATCATCTCTCTGAACCTGTTCCCCCTTCAGCATTTCCTGTATCAGTTGGCAGCATTACCTCTACCCTAGGTACCTAGTTTAACAGCCAGTGGCTCTTCCTTGACTCTGTTATCCTCAGTTAATACACCTGTTTAGCCACCAAATCTACCTTTTTTGCCTAATAATTATTTTCTGTGGTTTTGTTTGTTTGTTTTTAGCTGACACCTGTTGGCAGCTCAGCTTGGGCCGGGAATTGAACCGGCGACCCTGTTGCTCAGAGCTCGCACTCTTGAGCAAGCTCTTAACCATCTGAGCCACTCAGCCGGCCCCTTGCCTAATATTTCTTGAACTGTTCCTATATTCTTCATTCTTACCGGCACTGCCCTTATTTGTGTTCTTCTATTGTCTTTCCTGGACTATTGCAGCAGCCTCCTCGCTGGTCTTTTTCCCTCTTCTAATCTTGTCACCCTTGGAGCTATTCTCCATACTAGTCACTGAATGACCTATAAGAAAGGCAAATCTCATCATGTTCCACCTCCTTCAAATCTTTGGTGGCTCCCCATCACCCGTAGGGCTGACCAGGTGCTCTATGGTTGCCTTTGGCAACCTCTTCAGCTTTATCCCTTACCACTTCTGCCTTACCTTATGTTCAATTAGGACTAAAATGCTTGTAGGCCTCAGGAAAGCCCATGCTCCACCATGTCCAGGCTTCCTTAGCTAACTCTTGCCCAGTCTTTAGGGCACAGTCCATGCTTCCCTTCACCAAGTCTTTCCCATAATACACTGGTCAGTGATCTGTCCTTGCATGTCAACACTGTTATGTGAGCATTTTATCTAGCAGACTGTGACAAGCTTGAGGACAAGCACCATGTTTATTCATATTTGTCCCCTCCAAGCTCACAGTCTAGTGAGGGAGACAACCATTCATCAAATAATCATGTAGATGGATATATAATTTAAATTATTACCCTGGTCCATGTAAATTTAACAAGCAAACATTTTTTGAGCATCTACTCCATTTCAGACTGTATGTCAGACACTGGGAAAGCATCAGTGAACAAAAACATGGGTTCTGTGTTCACAGAACTCACAGTTTATGCAGGATAGACATTGAAGAGGTAATCAAATCTAAAGTGTGAGAAATGTTAAAGAGGAGGATGTGCAGGTACCCTTAGGACACGAAGCAGGGGAGCCAACCTAGTCTGAGGTGGCATCAGGGAAGCTTCTCCAGGGAAGTGACATTTAAGCATAGATCTGAAGGAGAATCGAGTTGGCTAGGTGAGAGGGTTCACTCATTGTGCTTGCTCGCTTCTTTGCTTTCAATAGTTAGAACTGTATGTCAAGGAGAGGGAATGATGTATTCAAACACCCTGAGGTCAGGAAGATGCTAGAGCATTTGAGAAACTTGGGGAAGGCCGGCTGTAGCTCAGTGGTAGGGGATGAGAGTCTGCCACAGGCAAAATTATATGGGCCTTGTAAGTGAAGGTAAAGATTTTATACTTGCTGTTAGATGCTGTGTAACCACTGAAGAATGTAAAGCAGGGGTATCATGGTCTGCTCTGACTTACAGTGCTCCCACTGGTGTCAGGAGGAGAACATAGTAGAGATAGCCGATACTACCTGGGAGGAATCCAGATGAAAGAGCAGCTTGGCCTGGACTAAGGTGGTAGCAGTGTGGATGGAAAGAGAGAATTAATAAACCACCCCTCCACCCCAATTAAGGAGTCCCAAGTCTGATAGGGATGCATGATTCCTACCCTCAGAGAAGCCTCTGGCTGATAAGATGAAACTGTCCCAGTCATAGACTTGCCAGGCTGATGAAAGCTAAGCAGGCCCTTCCCCCAAGAAAAAAATACTAGAATACTCAAAAACATGCTTTAAAAGATGGTTATCCTTGTGTAAAATGAGAGGGCTTGCAAGGGTGAGCATAGAGGTAGTCCAGGAAGGCATCCTTGAGTGGATGAGGATGAAGCAAGACGGTAAGACTTAGACAAGAGCGGAGGGCCTACTACCTCAAGCTGGATCTGAATGCAGGGTAAGCAGCAGATTGGTCTAACAGGCAAATATCAGTTTTGCCCAAATGAGCTCTAAGGGTGAATTAGAACCCTGAAATGGTGGAACCAAGAAAGCCTTGGAGAGAATCCAATCCAATATTTATCTTTTTTTTTTTTTTTAAGCTGAGCCATCCTGCCACCTGTTGGCAGCTCAGCAGCTGCTCAGCTCAGGCCGGGAATCAAAGCACTGTTGCTCAGAGCTCAGAGCTCAAACTCTTGAGCGAGCTCTTAACCAACTGAGCCACTCGGCCAGCCCCCAACATTTATCTTAGCACACACTTTGTTGAATGTAAAAATCACACCTTTTTACTGGTATTAATTTGTCAAGAATCACTCAAAAGTTTTCTAAACTATTGCTGTTACTAATGCAACATGTTTATTAAAACTTTCAGACAAATAATTTCACATACTGCCTTATATTTCAACTGAATTTCCCTGTAACAAAAAAAGTAAAAATAAAAGCACTTTCCTTTGCTAAAGCATCACATACCTTTTCTTCATGTTGTTTGAAACAAACATGTCTTAAAGCATATCAAAGCAATGCAACGAAGTCTGTTTTGTTTGCAGACTGTATGTGCCTCCTTCCCCAGTCTGCTCTTGAGAACCACTGACCTAGTGTACCTCCCTCATTTTATAGGAGACAGCTGAGGACTAGAAGAGTTACTCATGGCTATATAGCTTGTGGCAGTCCCCGTTCTCAGAGCAGCGGGAAGTTCCTCTGTTCTCTTTTGTCGGGTACCAGGTCATAGAATTGGGACAAGTGAGCATTGTTTCTGAGCCCAGACGTCCTATGTCACTTGCCTTTTCTATGTGTCTGTCTGGTACCGAAGAAGCACAGGGAACAGGAAGAAAGGGTGGTGGTGCCAGCAGGCTCTGTCATCCCTCTCTGTCTTCCCATAGTCCTCTGAAGCCTTGGAGTTCATGAAACGGGACCTGACAGAGTTCACCCAGGTGGTACAGCATGACACGGCCTGCACCATTGCAGCCACAGCCAGTGTGGTCAAGGAGAAGCTGGCTGTGAGTACCCCTGTACCCTCCAAGTGACTGTCCCTAACAGCCTGACCTGCCCTGGGACCCGGGCAGGGGCTCCCAAAGTTTCTACCGTTATTTTTTCATGATTGCTTTTCCCCATGGGCTCCCATTTTGAAAGAATTGTGTCTGTCAAGCAAACAAGCTACATGTATTAAGTAAAAATAAGCTTTCCCACTTATGTATTGCCAAACGACAATTTTGAAAATATAGATAAGTAAAAGAAAGAAAGGCCTAGAGACACCCATAACTCCATCTCTCAGAGGTAACTACTGTTAATATTTGGGGACTATATCCCTTATGTACGTTTTCTTTTTCAAAATTGGAATCAACTGAATACCATGTTTGGAACCTTCCTTTTGACCTAATCATTGCAGACTTCGTTCAGCAGCCTCACAAATGGCATGGTATTCTATTATATGGATTTAACCAGTTCCTAGTTTTCTGTTTCAGTTTCTTCCAGAATGTTAACAGAGCTACAGTGAACATTCTGATTGTTAAATTTTTGCCCTTAGTATTTTCTTTATAATAAAATATTAGAAGGGGTCAGGGTGAGTACAGTTTTAGGCCTTTTAATATCTATTGCAAAACTCCCCTCCAGAAAGGTTGTGCTAACTTATATTCTTACCGGCCCTGTTTTTATTAATTAGAGATGTACAGTGGAGTCCTCTTGTTAGATAGGAATTAGATTTTGAAGTCACTGTGAAAGTGAAAATTGTGTATAGTCAAAGATACTCGTTTAAGTCTCAAGTTTCTGATGAAGTACAGTGTATTGGTTTTATATTACAGTTTTCCCTTTAGTATTGGAACAGATTGCCGTTTCTTCATTTGATCACCAGCTGCATCATCTGCCTTGTGACTAAAGGCCATATTATGAAAAACTCGTTTTGAAGCTTTGTAGCCAAGTTTGTTTGGCTGAATGTTGTAAAATACTGTCTGCCTGCATAGCTACTGATGAGCATGAATGACACATAATCATCCTGCTGAACTGCGCTAAGTAGCAGAGACAGCACTTATTTCTTTTGTTAATAATTACTTTTTTCATTCAACAGATATGATTGAATACCTCTACCAGCATGTGCTAGGCATTGTGATAGGTTCTAGGTTTAAAATGCCTGAGCAGCCTAATCAGGAATAAATATTATAGTTTTATAGTTTTCCATGGGGATTTTAGAGACTGACCCTGTCTCCCAGCATCCCATCCCTGCTTGCTCAAGGGCGTTCTGACCAGTGTGGCTCAAGTGTGGTGTCTTGCTTGCCCCTTCTGTGAGGTCCATACATTGGCCCTTAGCTGGTCTCAGCCTTGCCTGTGGGCAAGGCTCTCTGTTTTCACCTTGCCCATATTTCCCCAACCTTCATATATAAAATATTTCCTAAGCAGTGATGATGATGAAATTGTGATATTACAGTACTGCTATTTATTAAATGTTTGCTATGTGCCTGGCATTGTACATGCCTTATCTCTTTTAATCACAGTAGCCCTCTGAAAGAAGTATATTTATCTGCATTTTCCAAATGAGGAAACAGAGACTCAGGAAGGGTTTAGGTTTCATAACCAACAAGTAGTAGAGCTGGAATTCAGATTCAAGTTGGACTCCACAACAGTACCTTTCCCATCACTCTGCCCTCAGGTCCTCTTCCCCTCTGAATGTTTAAGGCCAGCTGCACCTCATTTGGGGGAGGAGACACTCTCTTTCCTCCAGCCCCAGAGATGGTGTGAGAGGTCCTGAGCACTTGCCTGCCCCTCCCCCTCACACACACATTATACTTTTGCTCCTGATGCTTCACTCCGCCATACCCCGTATCCCAGATTGCAGCCTGCTCTTGGGCCACTTGCTTCCTCTGCTGGCTTCTCTCTGCAGACTGAAGGCTCCTCAGGGGCAACGGAGAAAATGAAGAAGGGTTTGTCTGACTTCCTAGGGGTGATCTCTGATACCTTTGCTCCCTCACCGGACAAAACTATCGACTGCGATGTCATCACTCTGATGGGCACACCCTCTGGCACAGCTGAACCCTATGATGGCACCAAGGTATTCACTAGTAGCCTCCACTGCAGATGCCTAACAGCCCTGAACTCTAGCTTACCACCTGTACTCACAAAAGCAATACATGTTTAGGCTAAAAAATAAATATATGTGTATAACTAAATTGGTGAATACCAATAAGCAAGAAGATAATCATTTGTAACCCTATAATCCCATCACTCAAACAGAACCAGTAATTTCTTGTTGGTGTATAACCTTCCATTTCTTTTTGTTTGCTAACATGGGTAAAGATAGTTTGGGTTTTTTTCTTCTTTAAAAAAAGATACTTTATGCATGCAATTTTGTAACATGCTTTTAAAAAATTTGTAATAAACTTAGCTCCTTACCTGATCACCATCATTTTTAATATATTTAAATTCTTGCAAGTAAATATAGCATAATTTATGGATTCCTTTCAACCGTAATATGGAATGCTGTTAGGAGCATCTTTCCAGGCATGATCTTCTCCACATTTGGGTTATTTAGGACTAATGTCCAATAAGAAAAAATGTGCAGGGGGGAGGGTGTCTTCAAAGCATTTAAATCAACAAGAGTAGTATATTTTTACCACATTTTATTTTCCTATTACTTCTTGGATTTAATGGAATGTTTTCTCCTAAATTCACAGTGTGGTGTCATAGCACTTAGGCCTTCTTTGGAGCATTTTACCACATTGAATTTCCATTCCAAACGTACTGATTTTCCAAGCATGTTTTTCAGCACTACAATTGGCACCACCACTTAGTGAACGTTTGAATGGAATTGTGACTTTTTTTTAATGATAGGATTTTATATGACAGTGACTCACTGAACCATTTGCCGAAGGTCTGATGCAGACAGCCAGCGCATCCTTCACGTAATACTGAGGAAGGAAGTGGGGGGCTTTCTGTTTACCAGCTACAGGTTGCCACTTCTGTAGCCCTAACGGGAACACAGCTCACAGTTCACTTGACAGACTGGCTGTGAAATTAAAAAATTCTTGATGAATGGTTTTAATTTAGGGGAGTTACATTATTTGAAAACTTGCCCATACATTTGGACTTTATTAATATATTTGCACTAGCATTTTTCATATTTCACATAATTTAAAAGCATTTCATACATATAATATTGTAGCCTGTTTACACTGTATTTTCTTAGTTCCCAGGGGTGAAATACTGGTTGAAAGACCATTTTTTGGGGAGCCCCAGTTTTGGACTCCTGGCCTACCTAGTGCCCCACTCTCTAGCCAGTGTTCATTGACAAGTCCCCTGTGGGTATGGTAGTCAACAGGGGAGAAGTTGGATGGTGGATGACTGGGTACTCAGGCAGAAAGGGGTGCATTCTTTGCCCAGCACCCCAGAATTTATTATCTCTTCTCTGTTTCTTATAGGCTCGCCTCTATAGCCTGCAGTCAGACCCAGCAACGTACTGCAATGAACCAGATGGTGAGGGGATAATAGTGAGAGGGCGGGCTTGCAGGGCAGAGCTATGCGTTCTGTTCATCTGTGGTAGCAGTGGCCAGGCACCCCTGTGTAGAGGGGACCAGAGTGGGCTAGTATGTACCTTCCATCTGGTGGGATGCGTTGATGGTCCCTGTTCCTCCTTGAACCCAGGCTGTGTTCATCCCTATTTGCAGAGGCTTTGCTCCTCTTCCTCATCTTCAGCCCAGGCTCCCTCCCAGTGCTGCTGCCCTGCCTGTTTGCTAAACCCCTGCTGTGCAGCAAGCCCCAGGCTGGGAACTGGAGATCAGAAATGATCTTAACCTGGTCCAGACCTCCAGGAACCTGCTGTTAGGAAAGGCAAACAGGAAAGAGTGAATAAAGCAAAGGTAGTAGAGATGGAGTGACTGCTTCCACAGAAAGATGGGGGCAATGTGAACCTAAAGGAATGGCACCCAACCTAGCCTGGGAACCTAGGATGTGACACTTGAATTGAGGTTTTAAGGATGAATTAGCAGTAAACTAATTTTACTTTTAGAAATGGAGGGTGAGTGTTCTCGCATGGCTACAGGACATTTGAGGATCCAGAAGGAACAGGGAGTACCTAGGCATTTGGGAAGGCTAGATTGAAGGGTGCATGTGAGGCAGTGGAGGCAGTGAGAGCTGTCATGGGAGCCAGACTGCAATGCTTTGGGTGCCAGACGAAGCAGTTTGAATTGTGTCCTAAAATGCTCAAGGTAGTGCTTCTTAACTGTGTTTTGGTTACAAAGGCCTTTAAAAATCTGTTGAAAATGACAAGCCCTCTTGTCATTATATGCAGAATAGGAATTCTTTGACCCTTTGAAGCATGTCTTTGGACCCTAACTTAAAAGGCCCTCCTATAGAGAACTGTTGAAGGGTTTTGAGGCCTGCGGTGATTCGGATTTTACACTTTATAGAAGAGCCCTGGGCAGTGTTGTAAAAGATGAAATAGAGGGAGAGACAGAAGACAGGAAGACAGGTTAGGAGGGTTGGTAGCAGTCCTCACATCAGAGGTAGCGCCAGGACATAGGAAGTGGCAGGAGGAATGCGGAGGACGGTGTGCATGTTCAAGACTCTGAGGAAGTAGAATCCAGAGTGACTGGACAGAGGGGCATCTAGGAGGGTCCCCAGGTTTCCAGTGGGTAACTGGGTAGGACAGGTTGGTCAGGAAAGAAAATGACAGCACTTTCGATTCACAGCACCTGTGCAGGTGGACGAGTCCAGGGGACCCCTGGACCCCTGGATCTGGAGCTCAGAAGGGTAGCCGGGGCTGCAAAGAAAGACGGAGGCAATTGTCAGTGGGAGGAGAAGGTTGAAAACTCATGGTTTACTGGAGGTTACATTGGGAGAAAATAGAGAATGAGGAGAGATAAGGAAAGAGAGAAGCCCATGGAAGACTCAGATGAAGCTAGAGAAGTGGGAGAAAGATCACAAGACTGAGAAGCCAGGGGAGAAGAGGGCTTCCAGAGGAAAGCAGCGGCTCCCAGGGTCAGAAACTGTGGATTAGTCACATGAGGGAGGACAGAGAAGTCGCCATTGGATCTGGCAACATGGGTCACTTGGGTGGCTTGAGAAGAGCTGTTTCAGAGAGGATCGAGTGCAGTGGGCTAAAAAAGGGAGCAGGCATGGGAGAGAATGGAGTCTGCAGCCCTTCCAGAGATCACTTAGGTGCTGCACCCTAATATCAGTGAAGTCCACCTACCCCTTCACCCTGCCTTACCCACCACCTTGGGCCAAATGACTGAAAAAACTGTAAACTTTCCTCATTGTCCATATGCAAGCATAGGTGTGTTTTCTGTAGGCCCAGTGTTTTTTCCCCAGACCCAGGGAACTCTGACCATCAGTGTCTGTCCCTCTACAGGGCCCCCGGAATTGTTTGACGCCTGGCTTTCCCAGTTCTGCTTGGAGGAGAAGAAGGGGGAGATCTCAGACCTCCTTGTAGGCAGCCCCTCCATCCGGGCCCTCTACACCAAGATGGTAAGGGCCCAGCCGGCAGGACTCCCAGCTTGAGGTGTTAGGAGGTGGGAGGGACATGTTCAGAGTATTTTGGAGTCATCTGGCCTAGAGAGCAATGGGAGATCGATAGAGCCAGTGGGAGACCCTGTACAGCCTAAACCAGCCAGGTCCTGAACTGAGAATCTGCATGAGGGAAACTGATTTGCCAGGCTTCTGGCAGTCATGGTGAGAAATGGAAGGGCTGGCAAAGACTGATGGGAGTTCCTTTCTCCCTCCTGGCCAAGATGGTCCAGGAAGGTAGCAGGGGGGAGGGTGGGGGTAGGGGAATGGGGATGGTGGTGAAGTAGAAGTGCTCTGATTATCACTGTTCAGCCACTAATTGTGTCTGAAATCCAGAGTGTCTGGGAGCTGGCTGATAAAGCTGGGAACGCAGATCCCACACAACCACTCCAAAAGTCTCATCTCTGCTGTCCCCTCCCTCCAGGTGCCAGCAGCTGTTTCCCATTCAGAATTCTGGCATCGATATTTCTATAAAGTTCATCAATTAGAGCAGGTATGCTGCCCTAGCCTGAGGAGGTACTCCACTCAGCCATGGGGGGAGTGGGCTAGATTTTGTTGAGGGAATAAGGGGACAAAGGGTGCCAAGAGTTCTGGGATCTCCTGACTTCCCAGGGTCTGGGAAGAGGGTGCCCTGACTACTCCTGGCCATCTGCTCCCCCACACCCAGGAGCAGGCCCGGAGGGATGCCCTGAAGCAGCGGGCAGAACAGAGCATCTCTGAGGAGCCTGGATGGGAGGAGGAAGAAGGTAAGGGGTATTGAGAGGTGATGGGCAGGTAACCGGTCCTGCCTGTGGGGCAATGCCTGGGCCATTCTCTCTGAGGCCTGGAGAGACATGGCACCCTGGGGAAGAGTGGGGAATGAGTGCAGTGTGTGCGCACACCAAGGACAGGCTGGGCTAACAAGGAGATGTGTACCAAGGCTGGCGGAATCCCAGGTTTAGGTACAGAAAGCACATGTGTCAGTTGCAGCAGACTCCCAGCCATGGACCAGCTCCTTCAGAGTCACCTGGAACACTTACTGAAATTACAGACTCCTTTCCCCTCCTTGTAAGACTGTGGGGATGTGGCCAAACTTGTATTTTTAACAAGCTTCCCTAATAATGTCAATGCCCGTCCAGACTTAGGAACTGCTGGCTTAGGGAGGGAACTGTGCAGCCTCTACCTGGTAGCTTAGCTTATGACAGTGTGTTGGAGCCATCTGCATGATATAATATTAACACATTTATTAAGTGCTTATATGCCCAACCTGTGTTAAGAGCTTTACTTGTGTGGTCATTACCACAACTCCATTACCCCTCTTTTATGAATGGGGCAGGTAAATTAAAGAAATGTTAAGTGCCTTGTCCAAGATCATACACCTAGGATGTAGCAGAGCCTGACCTGAACCCAAAACTGATTTACAGTCTTGGCTTTCTAATCTATAATGCCATCTTGGGCTGTGTTTCTGGAAGCTGAGTGCCCACCAGACATGTGCTAGGCCTCACAGGTAGGACAGACGTTGACCAACAGGAAGTACCTGCAGAAGAACCCTGATGGAGGGGGTGAGGAAACTGGCACCCTTTAGTCTTGATCAGAGTGAGTTTTGGCAGGATCCTGAAGTCTGTCTTCAGAGAGCTCCAAGGCTATCTTGGGGCTGACCAGGGCACATTGCCCTCTTTCTCTACCTTTTCTCGACAGAGGAGCTTGTTGGCATTTCCCCCACATCTCCAAAAGAGGCAAAGGTTCCTGTGGTCAAAACTTCCACATCCCTTGAAGAAGGACCTGGCCCCCAGAGCCCCTGTGAAGAGAATCTGGTGACTCCAGTTGAGCCTTCAAAAGAGGTGACCCCGTCAGAGAGCAGCGAGAGCGTCTCCCTCGTGACACAGATTGCCAAACCTGTCACCACATCTGAGGCACAAGTGCTGCCCAAGGACCTGTCCCAAAAGCTTCTAGAGGCATCTTTGGAGGAACATGGCCTGGCTGTGGATGTGGGTGAGACTGGACCCCCACCCCCAGCTCAGTCCAAGCCTCAAACCCCTGCCGGCCGCCCCAGTGGCCCAGAGCCCAGGCCTCCAGCCAGAGTAGAGACTCTCAGGGAGGAGGTGCTCACAGACTTACGAGTGTTTGAGCTGAACTCGGACAGTGGGAAGTCCACACCTTCCAACAATGGAAAGAAAGGTAAGTCAAGGCCAAAGCCCAGGGAAGTTTGTGGGGCAGGGTAGGTAAGAGATGACACCTCATGAGACAGGTTTCTCTCCTTGTCCCTTTTGAGGATCCTAGGAGCAGATGTCCTTCATTTGTGATATGATGATGATGACAGCTGCTAATATTGAGCATCATTTACCATATTTCATCAATTCTAAGATGCACTGATTCTCAGAAATAAAGATGCATCTTATAATTGTTGGGTCTTAGAGTCAACAAAATAAGATTTATGTCAGATCCTGTGCTAAGTTTGTAATATTACATTTTAATTTCTCACATCTCACAACCCAGTGAGGTTGGTATTACTGTCCTTGTTTTACAGATGAAGAAAGTGAGGCTCAGAAATGTTAAGTAACTTGCTCAAGTTCACATGGCCAGTGGTGGCGAGTCCAGATTCAGACTCAGGTCTGTCTGACTTGAAGCGTATGCCCTTAACTTCTACCACACGGTACCAATTTCTGTCCTTCTGGACAATTCAGCCTTATCCTGGGCTGGGAATTCCTGGGACATTAATTGATGTCCAGGGTTTTCTCTCCTGGGTGACCTCAGGACAGTCATTAGCTTCCCTAAGCCCTCATTAATTATTATGAAACATAAAAAAACTTACATGTACAGTTTAAAGAAGAATAAAGTGAACACTCATGAACTTGCTATGAGGAAGCTTAAGTAATAGAGCTTTAGTTTCTGATCTGTATAGTGGAATTTTAGTCTGCAGACTCTTTGATTTTATGTCAAGAGGAACCTCTCTAACTCCTGGAATTAAAGGACAATGATAGCTCTGCTGTCAACTTTTCTGCCACATCCAAAATACCTCTCTAGAGATAGGTGATTATTAGCAAGACCTTCCCTCCGCTCCTCTCTCACACACACACGTACTGTGTTTGCCAACACTCTGTACCAGTCAGCCACAAAGCTTGCCCAGCTAGTGAGCGCTGGCCTGCTGGCACAGTGAGACTGGTTTGCTGCAGCGCATGGGAAATGGGTCCTACCACACACTATTTCGCTCTCTGATGGAAAACTGCAGGGTTTCTAGTTTCCAACACAGTGCTCTCCTTCTGACTCTGATTCAGTGACATCATCCATGGAACCCCTCCCTACTCTTTATGAGACACCGAGGAGCGAGGGGCAAAAGCTGCAAGCTTTGTGATGAAGCACAGAGAAGTATGTGACAGACTTGGTACTGGAGAGTTTCAGAGAAAGACGGAAACTCTGGGCATCAGCGAGTGTTTCACCAGGGAGACAGACGCTGTATAGGAGAATTGGAGAGCTTGGGGCAGGTGTGGGGGAGTAGTCCAGGCTGAGGGGGCTACAAAGTCCTGATAGCAGGGGCATGTGGCACATTTAAGGGGTGGTAACCAAAGTCCACTTTTGTGTATTGTCTCCTAGGAGACGGAGGAACAGAAAGGGTCGATGGGTTGGCTCAGAAATAGAACTTAAGAACTTAAAATCCTAAGCTGAATTCAGAAGGCTGGACTTGGTGCCACAAAGCAGCAGGGCATGCTGCTTATGTTATATGCCCAACCTATACTAAGAGCCTTACATGTAGAGGCTAAGGGCTCAGGCACTGGAGTGCCGACAGCTCTGGGTTCAAATCCCAGCTTTGCTCATAAGCTATGTGATTTCAGAAAAGTTATTGATTTCTAAGCCTCCATTCACTCCTCTGTAAATTGGGGGTAATTGTTCTATGACAGGTCCTCAGTCAGGGAAGAAATTTTGAGTAGAGCCCTGCTTTGGAGAAATGATAAGAGGTACCCTTCTCTGAGCACTTTCTATATGTCTGTATAGTTCTATCCTAAGCACTTGATATGCATAATCACTCAATCTTCACAAAAGCCCTGTGAGATCTGTGCAGTTTTCCCTTTTTTCACTGGTAGGTAACTGAGGTCAATGACCCACCCAATAAGAATTTGGAAAAGTGTGCATGCAATAGTCCCTTAGGGGAGTGGAAGAGTAGGTGAATACCGACGGGAGGTGCGACGTTGCTGAGTGGGTGGGTTGTACTAAAGGCCCACTTGAGGTCATGGTCATGAATTTTAAGAGACCCCAATCAGCACTCTTATACTTTTGTCCAGCCATGTTTGGTTGCTCAGGTCCAGGCACAGAGCAGAGGCGGAGTTGGATTTAACCAGGTTTCAAGTTTAGCCAGGTGAAATCAGTAAAGGAAAAGAAGAGCGTTCAAGTATATGCAACAAGTGATCAGAATGATGGCTCATGGAATCTGAGCTGGATAAAGGAGGAATAACAGTAAAAGAGTTGGAGGGTTAAAGAATTATAGGTTCCATTTGGAATTGGGCTACTAGAGAGTGTGATGAGAAAAAAAATGAGTGGTGGGTGGGTGGAGACCAGACAAAATGAGATTATGGGGAAGATGCAGTGTTAGCTCTTAATCGCTCTGCTGTACACTCTTTGATGTACTAGGGGATTCTCGAAAAGAAGGGCTGGGGATTCGATGCAGAAGACCCACCAGACATAGTTGTAGTCACTTAGTGGGGGGAAGCCAGGGTCTTGGAATAAGGAGGGACCGTGGAGGGAATAAATCTTGAAGAATGGAGGCCTGGAGACAGAGCGACTCCTTTCCCCTCTTATGTCCACTTTCTAAGATGACATGAGGGAGGCTTGGTCTTAGGGTGCAGTAGAGTCTTGGTCTTAGGGTGCAGTGGCCAAGCCATAGGGTCTCCCAAGGTCCCAGGGTGATCTCCATAATTGCAGAGCTGCTGCCCACCTGAGGTTTGTAATTAGAAAACAGTAAAACTCCATCATGAAGTCTAAAATGGTTGCATGGATGAGTTTTGTGCCACGTGCACAGTGAAGTGGAAATCTTAGTACTCTCATTGTGTCACAAGACAGGATGGTGGGAGGAGGCAGGTGGCAGAGAGAACCCAGATTCACATCTCTGCCACTCACAGCCGTCATTTCCTCATCTGTAAATTGGGACTGTAAATACGCATCCTAGAGGGTGGATGTGAAGAGCTCCAAAAAATTTAGCTGATATTCTGTTCCCCACCCCCGGCAGGGTGTTCCCTAGCATTTAAGCCTGAAGAAGAGAGTTTCAAATCCCTAGAGGGCAACCTGAGGTTAGGAAAAGCTGTCATGGCCATAGCCACAGCCACAGCTCTGAAGTGAGGAATCCGCCAGGAGTCGGGCCTCTGCCCCACAGGAAGCCTGCATGGACAGATAGCCAGGTGCATGCCACCAATGTGTCCTGAATGCACAGGGATACTTCGATGTGGAGTCAGGAGGACTGGCTCCTGGCTGCTGATCTGCCCCTGTCCAGCTGTGGGACCTTGCACAACATTATTTAACTCTGAGACAAGGCATTTAACGACTGCATTTGTTAAATACCCACTATGTATATATATTATAGGCACTTTACATTGATATCTCTATTCTTAACCATTGTATCTCAAACTGCAGGCCCTAGGTCTACACAGAATCATCCACATACCTGTTTATAATGTAGAATTCTGGGCTACCACCTAGATCTGCTGAATCTGAATGAGAGGGTGGGAGGCAAGAGTCTGCATTCTAGTAAGCGCCTCCGGTGGTTCTTTGCAAAGAGGGTGGTTTTATCCTTATTTTATAAATAAACCAAAGCTCAGAATAACTTGCCCAAGACTGTACAATAGATAAAAGAGTAGGGATTCCACCCAGGTCTGCGTGGCTCCAGAGACCATGCTCTTAACCACACTGCTTGTGGCTGGATAGGTGGCTAGGAAGAGAGAGCAGTGGGAGACCCCTTATAAGGAATGTGGGGGCTGAGCCTACCACATTAGGGGGATCTCAGAACCTAGGCACCTGGTGAGGAGTAAGCTGGACAAAGAAATGAGATGTTTACAGGTCATGCCATTGGGGGATGAGGGGCCTACTCTTTTTAAAGCTGTTTTCTAAAAAAAAAGATTACAAAGTAATATGTGTTCATTTTAGGGGGGGAAAAAAAAACCACCAAGAAAATTACCCCATGACCTCATCACCTAGAGATAACTATTGTTAGTATTTTCGGGGTATCTTGCTCATCTTTCCTGTATGTGTGCATGCATCTGTGAGCATATTTTTTAAATGGACTCATACTGCATATACTTTTTTTTTTTTACAGGAATTATTTTTGTAGTTTTCTTCTTAGTAATAACTGTCACGTGTACTTTTTTTTGTATTGCCTTTAAGAAGTCATACCCAAATATGAGTGTTTAGCGCAGTGGTTGTAAAACTTTAGCAGCCATCAGAATCACCTAGAGCAGGGATGAGTACACTGTTTCTGTGTAGGGCAGGATCACAAATATTTTAGACTTTTGGGGGCATACAGCTTCTGTCCCAACTACTCAGCTCTGCTATTGTAGCCTGAAAGCAGCCATAAGTAGTATGTACACAAATGCCCATGGCTGTGTGCCAAATTTTTATTTTCAGAAACAGGTGGCAGGGTGGATTAGGTCTGTGGGCCATAGTTTGCCAACTCCTAGTTTAGAGAAAGGGTCCATGAATGTTTACTGAGTACAAGCTATGTGTTTTAGTCACTTGGAATATGTAAGAAAGTAAAACAAAGATCCCGCCTGCCCTTGGGGAGCTCTCATTCGAGCTCCTCTATTATTAGACAGTAAATATACTAAATAAGTCTGATGGCATAATATGCTAGAAAGTGATAACACAATAGGAAAAAATAACTAGAGCAGAGGGAGGGAGATGGGCTGCAAGTTAAAAAGACAATTAGGGTAGGCCACATTTAGATGGTGAGATTTGAGCAAAGGTGTGAAGGAAGTGAGGAGTTGGTCTGTGGATATCTGAGGAAGAGAGTTCCAAGTACAGGGAACAGGCCATGCAAAGGCCCTAAGGTGGGAAGTGCCTGGAGTGGCAAGATCCCTGTAGATAGAATGGAATGAGTAGAGAGGAAGAGATTCACTGTTTATTTCCTCTGGAAGATTTCTGGGGCTCCCAGGGAACCTCTGGACCCAAGTGCTTCTCCACTATTCAGTAGCTTGCTTTTTCTCTCTTAATAGTTTCATCCTATTTGTTATACACATGAGTATTCTACAGCCTAACCTGTAAAAGCCACGACTGATGTTCCATCACGACTACACCGTTTATTTGTGTAATTCCCTCTTAGTGGACTTTCAGGTAGCTTTTAAAATTTTCATCACTGTAGCAACTACAGTGAACATGCTTCTGGCTAAATTTTTTACTGAATCTAGGATTTCCTTAGATTCCTAAAAGTGGGAAGCGAGCTAGAGTGACAGCAGAACACAAAGATGTTTGGTGTGTATTTGTCAGGCCCTTTTAAAGGGTGCCATCATCCCCAGCTACGACCTCCTCACATACCCCTTCCTGCCTTTCACACTGTGGATCATGGTTCCAGGCTCAAGCACCGACATCAGCGAGGACTGGGAGAAGGACTTTGACTTGGACATGACTGAAGAAGAGGTGCAGATGGCACTTTCTAAAGTAGATGCCTCCGGTGAGGTGAGTGGACGTGGCTGGCCACAGGGAAGCAAGCCCAGAGGTCCCAGGGGCTGAGGACTCTCCCCACCAAGCCCACCTGTCCCCTCGGGGTAGATCCCTGTGCCTATCTGAGATGGCACGCTACAGGAAAGAGCTAGAGCATCCCACTCAGGCCCTGAGCAGTTGTCTTCAGTAGGCTTTGCTTCCCCTCAGTTCGGGGTGGATGGGTGGGAGAGTTCCTGACAGCTCTGTGTCAAAACCACCTGAGGAACTACTAAAAATAAAGACGCCAAACCCTGCCCTGGATCTTCTGACTCATGGTTTCCCGGTGTGGGACCTGAGCAGATACCTAGCCTAGAAGACAAAATACAGTGTGATCTAGGGCGAATCATTTAACCTGAGCCTCTATTTTCCCATCTGAAACATGGAATTGATAATTATAAGCTGTGATAGACAATGCATGTTGACATGATAGGCATAGTGCCAGGGACATGGAAGCACTAGTAGATGTTACGAAACCACCACAAAACCCAGTCCAGTTATAAGCTCAGAGGCCTATTACTCGTTCTTCACTACCTCTCAAAATTAAGAATGGGTCATTTTGAATGAGGCTGGGAAAAAAGCTCTCACAACTAATAGGCATCAGGACTGCGGCTCCAGCCCAGACATCGGATTCAAGTCAGTGTTACTTCCACTGTCACACAAGAACCACATGGTTCTTTCCATCATGAAGCTCATGAACCTGCTAAAAGAGGTGAACAGATTAGAGGCATGGGAAGGGCCTCATTTTTCATACTGGAAAACTGAAACCTGGGGAGAGGCAGTGACCTGTGCAAGAGCACATTGCTGTATCCAAGGCAGAGAAGGTGCTCTGTCATGCCACGGGAGCATCATGGCTCTTGTGTCTTTGCAGCCCTCTTTTAAAACTTGATAGTCTGCCTGAGCAGAGTTATACCAGGCAGGAATCCATTGACAGCAGGCCATGAGAAAGTTGACCGGAGACTTCAGCTGGGGACCAGGGTGCTGGAACCCCTAGTAAAGACCCTGTGAGCACCTGTAGTCCCCAGGGCCATGCTTGCTCCTAATTATAGTGCCATTCTCCAAGTTCTCTGCCCCTCAGCGTCAAGTTCTTATCTGCCCAGCAGGAGACAAGTTTTCCTTAAGGGATTAACTTCCTTTAGGCAAGGCATCCCCTTGTGGAGTTCATCGTTGGTTGGTGGAAGCATTTCCTCTGGAACAATCAGAACAGCAGAGCCACCCCTTAGGCAAAGGGCATCTCTACTCCCCAGACATGTCCCTAAGACCACTGTCCAGAGTATGGCCCAGGGTAGTGGGGGGAGTTAGGAGAAAGGCTATCCAGAAATGGAGGCGGCACGGGGAGCTTGGGTCTGGGCTTGACTCAGAGGAGTAAACATGTGTTTGTGCTCTCCATTATCCCCTCCCATTTGCAGCTGGAAGATGTGGAGTGGGAGGACTGGGAATGAGGGGAGCCAAGGCAAGCAGCTCCCCCTCCCACAGCACCTCCCACCTCCCTCGCTCATCTCACCCCAGCCCTGGAAGACACTGACCAAGAATGTCCCCCGAATGGCCTCTATCAACCAGAGCTCTCAGCCCAGATTCTGGGTTGCTCCTTACTGGCCCTTTGGATCTCTGCTCACATCTGGGAAGGGGCTCACAAAATCCAAACCAAGAACTCTGACTTGTGCCAACTGTAGAATGACCTAAGGGGGAGGAAACCTACCCCCTCACCAGAAGAGCCTACATTTCTCTGCTGAATACCCACTGTTCCTGGGGACTCTTGCTGGGAAGTCCCAAGGGATAGCTCCATACCTTCTGCCTATGTGGACAGAGCTAAACCACCGGTCTCTTGGAGGAAGCCCAGGCAAAATACTATCCACCCTTTAAGCAAGCAAGGAAGGCCATGCCACCTGCCCTTGGCTCGACAGAGATGACGAACACATTTTGATTCCTAGCCCATCGGGTAAGAGACATTGGACTCTGGGAAATTTGCCTTTCTTGGGAATCTCCCCTTCCCAGTTCATTTTCCATTCCTGAAAAGGTTCCTTGAGGTTCAGAATCTAGAGACCAAACCTTTCCAGTCCAGGCTGGTATGTCCCTAACGTCTTTCCCAGGGCTTCTTCATGTCAGATGCACCCAAGTCCTTAGCCCAGCTGTGCCACCTGCAAGACTCTGCTCTTGCTTTTCCTCCCTTCCTCAAGAAGGGAAGGGCAGCTTCAAACCTGCTGTGTGTTGTCTGGTGGGGTACCTTGTGCAGCCAGCTACCCATCTCAACTCCCCTGGACATGAGGACACAAGCCACCTCCCAGCAGTACGGAGCAGTGATCAAAGCCGAGCATTCACGACTCTAGTAAGCCCAACTTCTCCGCCTCAGCCCTTCTGTTTCTTGAAGGGGTGTGCTGGGATGAACTTCCTGAGACTCTCATCAGACTTCTGCAAAAGCTCTTCTCCCTGAAGACAGACCCAGTCTTTGTGGCTCTCATCCTCCACTCTGGTAAAGATGCACCTCTCGTGGGGGAATGAGGGGCTGCGGGAATTCCTGGAGACCCTGGTGCTTCACGACGCTGCTCTGGTGATTCTTGTACGTACATAGTCTGGTGTGTTCACCAATGATTTAATGGGATCGTGGTCAGGGATGCCGAGAGCGGTGGTCACTTCCACTTCAAACCTTCAGTGAGGGGGTAGGACGGAGAGAATGCTGAATCTTTGATGGGATGGGGTTTTTCTCTTTGTAATTATTTCTTTAGTTTAATTAATCTTTTGGTTGTTTGTGCAATATTATATATTTTAAATTATAATGCATCTCCCCAGAGTATTTTGTAGCCGGGAAAAGAAAAAAGGAAAAAAAAGTAAAAAACAAAGATTCCAACAGCTGTTAGTTTTGTAATTAAAAAAGAAAGAAAAAAGAACTTTGTCCTGAACCTTTTCCAGACTTGCCGTTAACAGCATTAAAGAAATTCAACAAAAGCTGGAAGGTGTCTGGGGGTGTTTTTGTCCCCAACGGCAGCTGCCCTGGAGCCAGGGCAGGACTCATGCCCTGTGCAGAGTGGCTTCCTGGCTTGGAATCTGGGCGAGGGGAATGGTGGGGGGACTAGCCTGGGTCCTGAGTAAGTCCCTTGTCCTCATCCCAGACTCAGTTTGGCCCTTGGGATGAGGAATGGACAGGGCCCCCAACAGGCCTGTGACCAAGACAAGGAGTCAAAAGGCCAACTCTGCAGTCCCAACACTTCTGCTTTTATTTGGAAAGGAAGTTGCAGCAACAGTGGCTCCAGTTGCTCTTGGTCATTGTTCTCTCCTCCCCCTGTATGTGTATAATTCTGGGGTCTATTTTTAATTAACTTTAGTTAAAACACTTGTATGAAAATCACTTGTCAGCAGTAATAAAAGGGAAGTCTGAATGAGACCCTCTGGTTCCATGAAGATCTTTAAAGGGAAAGAGAAGGCTGGGGAGGGTGTAACCAAGTTTTAGGATAAATAAACTTAAAAGTGTAAAATATATATCACCATTTTAGAAGCGGGTTTTTGGGTTTGCTTTCTCCCCCTGCTTTATTGGAGAGGACTTGCCATTGCTTTTATGAAGTGCTTGCTAGCCATGGATGCCAACTAACTTCTTCGATTGAAGGCCTGAGGATCATGTCCGGTTCCAGGAGCTGCTTAAGCAAGTCCTGGCATTCAGCCGAGATGCCCAGATGAGTGGGGAAGGACACCCCCTTCTGCTGCTGCCACAGCATCTTGGGAATGTCTGTGTCGTCAAAAGGTAGGCTGGCACAGAGCATGACGTAGAGGACAACGCCCATGCTCCAGACGTCCCCCTTCTTGCTGTCATGGGGAATACCCTGCAGCACCTCAGGGGCGGCATAGGCTGTGCTGCCGCAGAAGGTCTGGCTCAGCTCCCGGCGTGACTTGGGCAACACCTTGGCGAAGCCAAAGTCAGTCAGCTTCAGGTTGAAGCCCTGCAACAAGGCGTTCTCACACTTGAGATCCCGATGGGCTACTCCACAACCATGGCAGTAGCGGATGGCCTCGACCATCTGACGGAAGAGGGCCTTGGCCCGGCTCTCAGGCATTGGCCCCCCATTCAGCACGCAGTCAAAGACATCCCCTCCCTCAGCCAGCTCCATCACCAGGTAGATTTTCCCGTCTGCAGACTCCAGCATCTCATACACCTGGATGATATTCTTGTGGTCCAGGGTACGGACAATCTGGAGCTCCCGAGGCAGGAATCTCTGGATAAACTCTGGGGAAACGAGGAAGAGATGGGGTATCAAGTCCAGGAGGGCCTAACTCCTCCCGCCTGCCTTCCAACATCTGCCTGCCAGCCCGTCTGCCCACACACCATGTCTGGTTCTATTATTTTTGCAGTTAATATATTATTCAAAGGAACTACTCACTGCCAACTTCAGGGACTGTTGTGAGCAGCCTGTGACCATGGATATCCAAATCTTTGTGGGACATTTAAACAAAGCCACTGAATCTCAGGAGGCTGCCCCCAGTGTGGTGAGCCGGCTCCTCTTATCCCTGTCTCCTGACCCACAGTTCTTTCCATGAGCCCGGTCTTTTTCCCATTTCTACCTGCTTCTACACCAGCTCTTGCCCTCCGGTAGCCCTGGCCGTGGCCTCTCTGCCAATCTGTTCCCCTGGCAGGCTCAGGTTCTGCCTCCAAGGACCCTTCACCTCCTGCCACTTTAACCTTGGATTTTTTGGAGGGTGTGATGTTCCTGGACTTCCAACATCCCTCTGTTCCCCACTGACCTACCCCAGAGCCACAATCCCTTGCTTCACTTGGTTACTGACTAAAAGGGGAGGAGAGAATAGTCCTGACTGGAGGAAGCGCCCTCCCACCTCAGCCAGCCCCTCCTTCTCCAGAGGGGCCCCAGCTCACCTTCTGGCCCTCCCATCTTGTCTATAATTTTAATTGCCACCTTTCTTTGGTGTTTTTTGGAAAATGCTTCTTTGACTTTTGAGTAGGTCCCTTCCCCAATGGTCTTGCCCAGCTGGTACCCATTGGAGAGCAGAAAGTCCTCCATGCTGTCTAATGCCTCCTTCCTTCCTATCACCCTCTCAGCTCATGCTGCCTCTGTGAGGCAGCTCTACTCCACCATCGCCCTTGACCCGGTCCTTTTCCCACCAAGGACTTCATCCGCAGCGGCCCCCAGCGCTAGAACATTCTCCGTCTGGACAGAGCAGCCGCAGGTGGTGGAGAGGGAGAGGGCCCGACATTTTAAAACTCCGGTCCAATTGTGATGTAAATGTGTGACCCTTGGCCAAAATGGGTAGTACCCCTACCTGCTCGCACCACCACCACCACCACCAAACACAGCACTGGTTAAGTCCCTGTCGCGCTCCCGCCCCCACGCCAGGCAGTGAGCCGCAGCCCCGCCTGGGGTGAGGGTGGGGCACTCCGGGGTGGACGCGCTGCCCAGGAAGCCAGGATCCTTTTCGTCGAAGCCGCCTCATAACTGATTGTCGCCGCCTGCGCCCCCATCCGGCCGCTGGGGGTCTGCGCCACCCAGTCTTAAGGTGCTATGGCGGGAGCCCTCTGGCTCCCGGGTCGCGGCCGCACCAAGTGCTGGAGCGGCGGAGGGTTCCCCGGCGGGAGGAACGGGTTCTGTGAGGTCAGCGGGCCGAAGCCTTTGTCACAATGCAGCCTTCCCCCTCGACGCCCGGGCCCGCACGCGCCGCAGACACCTGCCCGGCTCCTCCTGGACCGGAGCGTCCTCGCGCGGCCAGGGCTCGGGCAGCTGCTTCCAGCCTGGGACCGGCCTTGGCCTCCGGCAGGTGAGCAACAACCCACGGGGCGGGTGCAGGGAGGGGACGCCCGGAGGCCAGGAGTGGCGTGACCGCCCCTCCCCACGCAGAGCGCCCCGGGTCCTGGACATGAGTGCCCAGGAGCCCCCGCAGGGTCGAAGATTCCCTATAGAGGCCGGAGATTCCCCTAGCCTTGCCGCCGCCCCCGAGTCCCAGGACAGCCCAGAGCCAGTAGCTACGGAGCACAGCCCAGTCAGGTGAGCAGCCCCGTGGCTCGTCCTGCGTCCCGGAGTGCTCCCGGCCCATTCCTGTCCCCGGCCCACTTTTCATCCCCAGACCATCCCCCACCACCCCACCCCACCCCACGTAAGGGCCCCACATCCACTACCGAACCTCGGGGACCCCAAGTGCACTCCCCGGATGCGTCCCCAACAGGGTGGGTCGGCCCCCGCCTCAGGCTCCCCTGCCGCGCCTCTTTCCCCAGGCCGCTTCGACGCTGCCCCGGCTGCCACTGCCTGACGCTGCTGCACGTACCCATCGACGTCTACCTGGCTATGGGCGGGAGCCCCGGGGCCCGCGCCACCTAAGTGAGCCTGCGCACGCACGGCGTCTCTACAGGAGCCGGGCGGGGACGAGGCCCGCTGAGGTCGCGCGCGCCGAGCACGAGACAATGATGCACATTTTAAAATAAAAGAATGATGCACATTTTAATAAAGCACAGCATAAACTGTTCTTTCCACTCCAGGCTAGCTGTGTGTCTCTGACCCGTTGGATCGGGCCCGCCGACTGCCCTTCCCCATCCCATAGCACCTTCCCTCCCGCTGCCTCCTCCCTTGCATCCAGCCCCAGGGGCTCACCCGCCCTTCTCGTCCGCTTTCTCCTGGCTGGGGCGCTAACCCCGCCCCCCATTTCTTGCTGGTTATGACCCCTTCCTGGACAGCTCCCTCGGGCCCTGCCCCCATCATTTTCCCCGCATCCCTCTCAGTTCTCCATTGAAAATCACGTTACTCTGTCTTTCGGGGGTCTCAGAGAAGCTCGGGATTGGAGGAGGTGGGCAGACAACTTAGAATAAAGAAAATGACGACCCACACCACGCTCATTTAATTCTCCCAAGATGGAATTAAGTTTTGCTATCTGCTGTTTTGTGTCCTGGGCACCTCTGGTTTTGTTGGAAGAGTTTAGCAGCTGCGTCCATTTTGAGCCTTGGTTTCTCTTAGGACTGGTGGCACCAGAAAAAGATTGGGGAAGAAGCTGTTTGAAAAACTGATTTATTTCTATTTTACAGGTGAGGGAACTGAGCCTTGAGAGACTTGCCTGGGGTCCCCCTAGCACACACCTGTGTCTTCAGACTTAATGCCCTAAAAGCCATCCATCCATAGGGGCCCATGACACAAAGTTGCCTGGAAATGTAATATTTAAGTTGAATGGGTATTTCCCACTTTCCAATTTTGCTTTAATGAACCTGTATTTTAATATTGGAAAAAATATTTTGACCTAAAGATCAGATTCAGTCTCCTGTCCCCTGAGATCTAAGTACAATTGACTCAACACCCGTCCCCTAATCCACATGGGGTAGAAGCCTAAACTTTCCCTAGAGCACTTCAGAATCCCATGGTCACCCAAAAGGTGACTTATTGGCTTCCACACAAAATGCTCTCCCAGGCAGTGCCAAATGTAGGAGACTTATTGAAGGGGAGGTGTTTGCCGAAAGCATCTACTCTGAAGTAAAGACTTTTGACTTGACTATTCAAATCCTGGTCCTTTAAACATCCTGGCTCTTGAAAGCCCCTCTATGCCTATCTTTCTCCTTCACCAAAATAATCTCTGGCGTCAGGCCCTAGTGCTGGCTTCTCTCTCCTCCCTCACCTTTACCTCCTGGAGAACGCTGCAGGAGAATACCTCAGGGACTCTCAATACTTCTATTAAGTGGAATAATCCAGTTGTTTCCATCCCCACAAAACTCCACGCAGGCTTTACTCAGCCTAACAACCCATGCTGCTGCTCTGCAGAAAAAGGGCCTCCCCTCCTTCCCTGTAAACAGTACTCAATGTCCTTCGGAGGCCATTGTCATTTTAGAAAAAAATTATCAGGTTATGTATTGATAGGGTCTCTCCATTGCAAGCAACTGGTTAGCTTAAGCAAAAAAGGAATTGATTGTTTCAAGTGGCTGAGAAGAATATACACTAGTGATTAAAGGAAGAACTGTAGGAACCAGGGCATCTATCAGGCTGGAACCAAGGATTCAACCCCACCAGGACTGCCCCATTGTTCCTTTCTCATCCCTGATGGTCTCCTGGGCAGAGAACAGCTGCACCAGCTTAGAAATCCCAAGAAGGGAGAGGTGTTTTCTCCCAGTCTCCATACACCTACCCGTGGAAGGGCAGCGTTTGGCCCTTCTTTAAATCACATGCACACTCCTTGGGCGAATTACCATTGTTAGGGTATAATTATATGAGACTATAATTGACCAGGCTGGGACATAGGCAAACCTTCCCTTGAGGTGTAAGCACAGCCAGGTGATTGACAGAATCACCAGAAAATAATAGGTAAGATGGAGAAAAAATACTTCAGGAGCAGAGAGAGCTTATGCAAAGGTTGAAAGACTGGATAAATCTGGGAGAATAAGAAACCAGAAAAGAACAGGTAGAGAGTGGCAGGGGCCAGGATGACAACTCTGTTCCACGGCAATGAGGAGCCTTGGACAGTGTGACCAGGTGTCAGGCTTCTGGGTTCTAGTTCAGGTTTTGTCCCTGACTCAGACAATACAGGTCCACCAGGCCTGTGCAGGGCACTGGGGATTCCGTGGAGAGCTTGACCTCCATGGGCCTTGGCTCTCATAGAACTCACATGGCCTAGCAATGACCTACTGGGAGGCCTCACGCAGACAAGTCCCTTCCCTCAGGGCCCATTTCCTCACTGGTTAAAGAAAAAGGGCACCAGCTGATCTCTCTGGACCTTGCCAGCCCCCAAACTGCTCAGTCCTTCCCATTCTTCCTTTCTTTCATCTCCCTTGCTTCCCTTGTTCCATCTTCTCAACCCTCCTTTCCTTTAAGAAAGCTTTATTGCCACCTTCCATGTGCTTGGATAGTGAGTGATGCAAAGATTCCAGATACACAGCTTGCCAGTAAACATTCTAGTTAGCTCTAGGATGTCCATGAGCAGGAGAAAGGACATTCCAGATGGAAGGAACACGGTGGTAAAGGCCTGGAGGCAGGAAAGTGGAGGGCAAGTTCAAAGAATTCAATTCAATCAACTTTCACCAATACCTACCTGGGCCACACTAGGTGCTGAGAGCCCACGCCTGAATCTGACAGATGCCTTACCCTTGTAGAGCTCAAAATTTAGGGGATCCAGGAGGAGTTCACAGAAGAGAGGCTGGATCAAGGAGGCCTTGAGTTTGAACTTTGTCCTGTAGGTGACAGGGAACATGACAGGGTCCAACCTGGACCACTTCTCTCTATTTCTCATCTCCTTTTCCATCCCATTCTCTGTTGCTTCTTCCTCTTTCCCCCTGGAAAAGTTGCTGGCCTAAACTCTAGTCCTGGATTTGAGTCCTGATTGCCATTTACTAGCTATGCAAACTTGGGCTAGTTACTTAGCCTCTCTGAGTCTCCATTTCCAAATCTGGACAATGAGATTAATCACACCTGGTGGAAAGTTTCAGCCAAGTCATGTGAGCACAGTACCAGGTAGGAATCTCGGGCAGCTAGCACTTGATGAGCAAGAGAGGCTGCTGTTGCTGCTGCTGCTGCTCCTGCCTTCGGCTTCCAGGGGCAGCAGAGAGCCAACCAGTCCTGTCCCCAGGGGCTGGGTGATGCCCAGCTGTGGAGAGAATTGGGGAATCCCTCTTGCTTCCCTCTGCCAACTTCTCAGCAGTTCTGCTCAGGAGCCTAGGAGCTTGACGGGGGGGCATTTACAGGGGAATCCCCAGGCGGTAAAAGCAGAGCTGCCTCCCTTACCCTAGAGGGTAAAGCTGTCCCCAGACCCCAAAGCTGGAGCCACAGATCCCACTCTTATTCTCTAGGCCTGAGGAATGAGGAGGGGCCCAGGGAAAGGGGGATGCTTGCATCACTGCCTTTCCTGACTTCTCTCTCAGACACCTTATTAGCCAGCCCCTCCCTAACGGACCCCCTTTTAGAAGGAGGGGGCGAAGTACAGATGGACCCCCAGGTTACCATGGAGATGGCAGGGAAAGGGTTGCTGTATCACCATGGCAACAGTTGACGTCAGTGTTACCCTTTCCTATCACTTGATCTGAGAAGGGGGCAGCCACCCCAACCACAAGCAAGTCCCCCACAAAGCCTCCTTCCCTTACTGAGCCAATCAACCAAGGGGTCGACAGGCTTAATATAGTGCAGCAGTTAAAGGCACAGACTTTGATGTCTGTCAAACCTTGGTTCCAGTCCTCCTCCTGCCTCATCTTAGCTGTGTGAATTTGATCAAGTTCCTTAATCCCTGGAAGTCTCCTATGTACAATGTGGGTACAGAAGCTGCGGGCCTTCAGGGGTTAGTGTGAGGACCTCAGGGTATCATGCAGGTAGTCGGGCATTGGGCCATCTTGTGGGAAGTGCACACTGATATTAGGGACTGTCAAGAGTCCTGGGCACCTGTCAGGAAATTGTGGTCCTTCAGATATGGACTCACAGCCCCTAGAAGGCTCCCAAGACTTCTAAGGACTGGGCCCCTGAGACTGAGCATCTCAGAATTTGGGGGTCTCAGGGTGGACCCAGAGACAGTGGAATTTCCAGACTCTGAGGCAATCCCAGATGTCACTTTCCCCGACACCTCCTAGCATCCTGTCTCTAACCCAACTTCCCCTTTGTCCTCCCCTCTGACTCCTCCTAGGCCTTCTAAGCAGCTTCTACCTCTTGGGCCTCCATTTGCTCCTCTAGGAAAAAGGATGGATGAGGGACCCTAGGAAGACATCAGGCTACCTGACACCAGGAAGATCAGTGGGTTGGACATCACAGGCATATGGGGGCCCCAGCTCCCACTGGGCCTCTTCCCAACCCCCCCCCTTGTGGTAAGGGATCCAGAATCATTCCCATTCCCTCTCTCTCCCCCAACCCCCAGTCCAAGTGATCACAGTCTATTCTGCTCCAATTCCACTGCCAAACCCCTGAATCAGGCCCCATTGCTACTCATATGGATTACTCCAGCAGCCCCCTAACCAGTCTCCCTGATTCCTTCCTTGCTTGATCCCTCCGGTCCAGACATATTTTAGAAAGACCACAAACCCAGCCATGTCACTCCCCTATTGAAATCTCATCAATGGCTTCTTTATTATCACTTTTCCAGCCACACTGAACACCCTCAGATCTTTATAAAATGTTCTTCCCATCTTTAAGCATGCTGTTGCTTCTGTCTGGAATAGCCTCCCTTCCAATCCCACTTACCCTTCAGATCTCCACCAACTGTCACTTCTTAAAGAAGGCTCCACCTGTCTTCCCCCCCACCTCCCCCCACCCCGGCCCCATAGCACCTACTTGTCCCACTGTGTACTTGCCTGTTCCTTGATCCCTGTTGAGTGGCTATCTACCCCATTACACTATAGACTCACCGAGGGCAATGGCCTGTGTCATATTCATCCTGACATCCCCAGGGCCTAGAATGGGAGGGCTCAGGAGTTTGCAGAATGTCTGCAGATTAGACTATTAGTAAGTGAATGACTGCTTGATGAGTCCACAGAGAAGAGACCGCAGTGCTTTGAGGAGAAGGAAAAGCAGAGCCTGCAGCGGG